GAGAGGTTGGCCTAGGTAACCTGTTATGGTCCCTTCCAACTCTATGCCACTGCTATTAATGTTGTGCCTTTTGCCCTTATTTTTGTACAGAGTTCAACAGGGTTCATAAAGTACAGGAAAGGAAGACAGTATATGGGAAACATTCTGTTAATATCAACCTCAAAAGAACTTTGGATCTAGGCTGAGAGGAGTCTGAGAAGAAATCAGTTATTATAATTATTATTTTATCCTTGGAAACAGGGAAAATCAGAGGTGCTAATTCTCAGCCTTCTTAATGACTCTTAAACAAAAGCTCTTCTCCCCAAAGAATGAAACACCAAATGAAACAGAAGGCACATAAGCCAGGCATTGATATATCTCATCCAACAAGTGATATAGCTTGATTGTGCTCTCTCCTGGAAGGTGGTAAATTAGAATTGCAGCCAATTACCGCCCACTGTAGAGTTTTGGACATTTTCAGAAGCTATTAAAATAGCAAGATGGTTATTCATTTCTTTAATTACTAGGGAGCTTGAAATCTGCTCTGGAGTGAAATGGATGGAATGTTTCCCTTAATTCTAGTCTAAAGAGTGCCACTTCACTGAATTAGGTTCCAGTATCTGTGTAGCTCAACCTGGTATTAAGAGATATTGGGTCCCAAGCTTTGGTGGGGCCAGCCCAGAATGCTGGTGGTATTCTGGGAAGAAGTCATAGGCCACTTGTTCACACATTTGGGTTAAAAAAATGAAATCTAAAAGTCCAAGATGGTGACTTTTTGTAAGTCATCTGAAAAAAGATCCGGACATTTCAGTAACATACAAACTGGATCTGATTCACTAGAATGATGTGACAGCCCCAGAAACTACAGCAGTCTTAGGCTGTGGCAAGAGAAGCATAGTAGCCAGCCCTATGGAGATGATGGCCCTATTTCGCCTAGTCTAGATCAAACCACAGTTCTGGCCACCACATTTTAGTAAAGGCACTGGTAAGTTAGAGAGTGTCCAGAATATAGAAAAACAGATGAGAAGGAGCCTCTAGAGGTACTGGGCAGAAGTTGTCAACACTTGAGTTAAGAAAAACATTTTAACTGGGAGTGGGACATATCAAGAAATTCTTGGGAGCCCGAAATAAAAGCTACCAATAATTTTTTTTAAACAACAACAGCAACTACGAAGGTTGCTTCCTCCCTATTAGAGCTGTCCCAAACCGGAATGGACTGCTTCAGGAGACGTAGTTTCTCCTTCACTCTAGGTCTTCGAGCAGAGGCTGGGTGGCACATATTGAATGTAAGCTACTTAAAGGCACTTTCTTTGTAGCCCCAACACATAGCGCATTGTACTTATATCTAGAACAACGCTGTTGACTGGCTAAATGACTGAAGGGGATTTTTGTTTGAGTAATGTTGACAAGAAAGCCTTTGAGGTCAGAGAACCTATCCAAGTCTTATTTTACGTGATCATCTGGGCTCCACCCCTAGCCTGGTCCCACTCCCCCATCTGCACACACACACATACACACACAATCATACCATGCTATATCGTGTTACACAGCCCAGTTTTTGTGACCAGTAGGTGTGAGAGGGAGGGTACAGAACAGATTATCAGCATCCTTTCCTCTTTCTACACAGTGAATATTGTGAGGTTGGTGTCATAGTAACAAGTTTGTGAAGTAAGAGCAAAGAAAGGGGGCAGAGACTGTAGGGGAAAGTAACTGGTACGTGACCAAGTCATCCTGGCAAGTGGAAAGGGAGGTGAGAGCACAACAATTTTACGTGTTCCTAAAGAGGTGACCATTTCCTGCCATGGGCCCTTCAAATAGGTAATCCACCCCGAAACAACACCTTCAATGAACACTATCCCCAAATGCAAATGAGCACTTACTTGCCAGCAGCATACACCTCAGCTGTGTCAAAGAGGTTGACTCCACTCTCATAAGCAATCGTCATTAGTCTTTCAGCAACCTTGGAGAAGACACATGGAGTTAGCCAGAGAAGACAGCTGTTCTTCCAAGCTCAGCAATCCCTGCACCAATCACTAAATCATAGTTCCAGGACTTTGAAATCTCACTGGGGAGTTCATTTACGGCCCTTCTTGAGTCCCAGAAAAGCAACATAATTTTCCCGGTAGAATATTAACTTGTTGAAGGCAGGAACTGACTTTCGTTTGCCTTTGTATCCCCAGAATAGCATATTGCCATGGAAACTTATAGTAGACATTTAATAAATACTTAATTCATTAGGATAACTAACTGCTATAGCTCCAAATAGTTATTTAATGTGTATAATGCAGCGAATTTTCCCCTGTCATATTTCCAAGTAATTTTGTGTGGTCATTTTCTTTTATTCTATCAGAATTAAATATGGTGTCATAGGGACCAATGCTGTTACCTAATAATGAGCTCAGTGCATATTCCATAGCTACATTTATTGCTATGCTTGTAATTGTAGGCTTAGATAATATTCCACAAGAAAGTGAAGTCTCTCAGACAATAAGATTCTTTGGAATCTTATTTACTAAGCTAAGTCACAGAATCATATATAAGTCAAGATCCAAAAATGACTCAACAAGCTAGAACACTGGGATAAATCTATTAAGATAAAATGTAATAGAGATAAATGTAAAATACCACACTTGGGTTCCAAAAATTGTCTTCATAAACCTAGGATGGGAAGCTATTTCTAGGCAGTAGTGTCCACAAAAACAGTCTTGGGATATTAGTTGACTGCAAAGTCAATAGAATCAATAGTAATAAATACATGGCAGTCAGAAGAAAGGCCAGTGTAATCTTAGGCTGTTGTGAAAGAGGCATGGTGTCTAGAGCAAAGATGATGACTTTTGTTATTCAGTTTTTTCAGTTGTGTTTGACTGTTCATAACCCCATTTAGGGTTTTCTTGGCAAAGATATTGGAGTGGTTTGCCATTTGCTTCTCCAGCTCATTTTATAGATGAGGAAACTGAGGCAAACAAGGTAAAATGACTTCCCAGGGTCACAAAACTAGTAAGTGTCTGAGGCTAGATTTGAACTCATGAAGATGAGTCTTTCTGACTCCAGGCCTAGCACTCTATCCACTATACTACCTAACTGCCCTAATGATGACAGGACTGCTGTATTCTTCCTTTGTTCAACTACAATTAGACTGCTATTTTCAGTTCTGGGTGCCACATTTTAAGAATAACATTAGCAAGGTAGACAGCATCTAGAGAAGGCCAAGCAAAAGGATGAAGGATCTGGGGACCACACTATTAAAAGATTGATTGAAGGAACTGGAGTGTTAGTCTGGAGAAGAGAAATTTAAGAAGGACATAAGAAAACACTTGTGTCCAAATATATGAAGGACTGGCATGTGAAAGAGGGATTAGACTTGGTCTGTCTGGCCCCAGAAGGCCTCTCAAAGGGTAGAAGTTACAGAGAAGTGAATTTAGGTTCTAGATCAAGATAAACATTCAAAAAATTGGAACTATCCTAGAGCAGAATGAGTTGCTCTAAAAGGCAGTAGGATCCTCTCACTGGAGGCCTTCAAGAACAGACCTGATGAGAACTTATTGCTGATATTTGAGGGCTCCCAACCAGGGGATCATTGGACTTTGTGGCTTCTGGGATCCCTCCCAACTTTGAGATTCCAAGCTCTCCAACATGGTGGTGTTCTAGAAAGATCACCGGACTTAAAATTAAAATCCTGCCTTGCTTACCTCCTACCTATGTGACCTTGCAATATTGTGTCACCTCATTTCTTTGGGCCTCAGTTTCCTCATCTGTAAAAAGAGGTCATTAGACTAGTTGATTTCTAGGACCCATCTAGTTCTACATCTGTGGTTTTTTATTGTGGATTTGCTTGACAATTTAATCACAAAATTTGCAAATGTATTTCAAAGTTTTCATTTTTTTCTTAACAGGAGTGCCACTAAAATAATTAATTTCTCATAACGTCATTTTTACTATTTACTTGTAACTTTCTAAAAGTCAATTGCCAGAAATTCCAGATGGTGCAAGTTGTTCAAACTAGCCTTTTCCCATGGTCTGAGTGACAGTAACTTACATTGTTTTATCAGCCTTTCTAGACCAAATTATCCTTTTTGGGGACTTGAAAAAAATCTCCCTAATGAAAATTATGCTCAACTTTCAAGGAAGAAAGCATGCAAGATTTTTTTTAGGAGTATAACTGACTAGGAATGGCATGAATATTTAAGATTTCCCCAGAATATTTGCCAACAAGTAAGTGGAAATACCAAATGAATTCAGAATTTTTCTTTCATCACTTCTCTGAATAGAGCAGCGTTCTTTATTGATGATATTTAGAGTTATGTTGGCACATCCTGGACAACAAGCACTCTAGGGCATCCAGGGCATGGTCTCCTTTTGGAAATGTCCAGACGAGCTACTTCGCCTGTCCCAGGTTTTCATCTGTAAAATGGAATCTGGGGGGGAATGAAGAGACTTGGTGATTTTTAAGGTCCCTTCAAGCTGTAATCCATGATTCCTGTCCTAGACTCCTAAAGCATAGAGGCCATGGAGTAAAATTAGAAGAGTGTGGTAGATTTGGATTCTGATACAATCTCTGCTCCTTGGCACCTGTGGGATCTTGAGCACCTCTCATTTTAATCTGTAAAAGAAAGATAGAAATATCTAGGGGTCACATTTGTTTTTCTGTTATTTGTTAAACGTTTATCAGCATCTCTCAGAAGAAAGAAGACTAGAAGAAGAGACCTTGGGGAGGAGGAATACCAAAGAACTACTGCTTACTACCTTGGGAGACACTCTTAAGCCTAGTATGTTCTATTCTACCCTCCCACTACTTGCAGCCAGCCCATGCTGTCCCCAATTTCTTCTTGGTCTGAAAACACTGCTAATAAAATCCGTAGCTGAAAAAAACAAAAACAAAACAACTACCCACACTGTGGTATCCATAAACAAGAATATCTAGATATTGATCAGGAATCCACACTCCACTTGGATTCTACACTGGATTTCTTCCATGATAGCGGTCAACAGGCTGGGTCAACATAGGGGTCCCTATTGGCCTCAAGGGTCATCGAACAAGGTCATCCGCATTATTAGATCTTTCAAGGATATAGAAGTTAGAGCTGTACAAAGTAAACCAGATTGCCCTGTTCCTTCTCCCTGAAGGTCTTCAGGAAAAGACAGATGTCCTCGTGGTGGGGATATGGAAGAGGGGCTACTTGGTCAGTGAAGTGTTGGACTAGGTGCCAACTGAGCAAACATTTGTTATTCATCTGCTATGTGTAAAGCTGTGCTAGGTTGGTGCTGGAGCATGGGACTATAGGGACAAAAGAGGTGTGTGTATGTGTGTGTGTGTGTGTGTGTGTGTGTGTGTGTGTGTGTGTGTAAGCAAACATATATTCCTTCATTTTCTGAGGAACAGCTGCAAGAGGGAAACACGCTGGCAACTGGAGAGAAGGTGAGCTTACAGCATGACTCTGTACTCCAAAAGGAAAAGATTCTCCTTGTCTCCTCCCTAAGCATCACACTACTCCACAACATACTTGCTAAATATGGTGAGCCATTAACTATGGACCTTTTTTTTTCCCTACTTGTTGACTATTTGGAGTCAGTGAAGTCAGCGTTTCACTGACTTTTCTCCTCTAATCCCTGAACTGAGCAGAGCTAAGCTGTCTGAATTCCCCTTAACACCTCCCTTACACCCTGCCTGGCTCTCCTCAAAGGGCCTTGCATGGTGCCTGAGATCAGCACAGCTCACGGTTACAGGGAATCGGCTGCTTTTGCTTTTTTTTTTTCCTTTACAGATCTGTGTTTCCTTGGATTAAAGGATCACAGATTTTCAAGTTGGAAAGGTATTTAGAGATCATCTAGTTTGACCTTCTTTTATAGACGAGGAAAATGAGAGATTCAGTGACTTGGCCAATATTACATTGGGAATAAGGGACAGAGCTGGGCATCCAACGCAGGTTGTCTCACCCCAAAGCCAATAGGTTTTACCTCCTACAGTGGAGTCTGATGGCATCTTTCATGTTGTAGGACTATAGGTCTGGAGCTGGAAGTCACCACAGAGGGCACCAAGTCAAAGCCCCTCATTTGGGTTGGATTCTATCCTCTGCTGTTTCTGGAGGCCAGGGAGGCTGGCTTCCCACCCAGGCACAGAGAAAAAAGACACAGATGCTGCGAAGGTGTCAGCAGCTTCCCTGAAGGGCAGAACCTCTGATACTCTGGCCAACACTCTGCTGGCCATTGGGCTTCGGGGTGAAGTGTTGGCCTGAACTCATTTGAGTTCTTGGGGAGAGGAGCTGACTTTTTAAGGACAACTTTGGTAAATTCCATCTGTAAAGCAAAGAATCCTTTCCTGAAGTAAAAAAAAAAAATCCCAAAGCCAAAATGCTTTCTTTCCCATTGGCCTGTTTTTTAAATCCAGATTTTCATTGCTCATGTTTACTTTAAGGTCAGGTATATCCAGGGGTGTTCTAGAGCCAGCTTGAACCAGTTCAAGGGAGCTGACTGTCAAATTTTCTGTGGATTTATGCCTCAGAAATTGTCAAGCGCTACAAATCTTGGTTTGGTTTATTGTTTTGTTGATTGTCTGGGATTAATAAAGTGATGGATAAAATGTTAATAACGAAGATTAAACTTAAAAGTATGTTGTGTGCACACACCCCTCCCCCCAGTCAATTGGTAAACTTTTACTGCCACACTCCCAGAACTGTACTCAGCCTAGAGTAACTTGCTACGCTTTTATTTGCCCCTGGTCTGAAAATGTTACTGATTGCACAAATTTGCAAAAATAGAGGTAGCCTGTTGTAGTGTTGAAAGTGCAGGGCTTGGAGTCTTAAAGATTTTACTGTCCCATTCTACCTCTTATACTAACTGTGTAACCTCGTTGCCTCAATGTCTATGTGCCTTAGGTAACTCTGAGGGCTTATCATAGAGGGTTGTGACCTGCACTGATGGAGGGAATTCTCACTATAGGAGTACCACCACAGTGACAAAACCACAGAAGCTTCATATATTCATGGCAATTTGCAAAATGAACAAAGCAAGAGAAAGCAATTATATACTATATTAATTATATTTAGCCATTTTGTCTTATAGGATATTCCAGTATCCAATACTGTAGCAGCCTGGAATTAGATGCCTCTGCAGTACTGTGATCAACATTATTTTCAGATTAACCTTTTTTTTTTAATGGAAAGCAAAAGTGACTTACCTCATCTGAAATTTGACCTCCAAAAGTGACCCATGTTCCTGGAAAAAGAACACACAATTACGCATTATTTATTATGATTTCCTTAATCCTGAGCTGAGTGTAATGGAAGGAGATTACTTTTTTCAAATAGTTTGCTGCTGATGTTGGAACAGATGCTAGGTCTAGGGTGAGAGTGGATGGCCACAGACCCACTTGGTCTGCAATGCTCCCTCTCATCATGCTGAATTAGTGGAGCAGCTGGCAATTCTGAAAGGGAAGGGAAGGTTATTGGGCTCATTTTATCCACATTCCCTGGTCTCCAGCTCCTGGCTCTTCTTGGACTTCCCATGTTCCATCTTCTCCTTTCCCCCTTCTTTGAAAGCCTTCCCCTAGAGGAAGGAGCCAGAGTGGGCTCTCTCCACTAGCTGGTGCTTTTGCTGAATTGGAACCTCCATCCTGAAGGAGTGAAGAGAATGGCTAGGCTAGAGGTTTGGGTACTTAAAATCTGGTGACTAGCACAAACTGGGAGAGTTTCTCTGAACTGTTCTACCCTCAGAACAGCCTGTGAGGGATTGAGATTGAGGACAAGAATGCTGTACATCAGAACGAATAGGGAAAGAACTGAATCTGTGATTTCATTGTTTTAGCGGAATCCCAGAGTCGCAATCTCCTTCTACTGAGGCTGGTCAGCACCTTCCCAACAACCTGTAATCTTTGAGAGTTGCCTGAAGGCACTAAGAGCTTAATTGACCTGCCCAGGGACACAAAACCAGTATGTATCAGAGGCAGGATCCAAATGTTCCTGTCTCCAACCCAGCTTTCTATCCATTCCACCATCCTGTGAACTCCCCCACCAGGACCGGCAAAAAAAAAAAAAAAAAAAAAAAAGACTGCTTGAAGCCCTGAGCTTGTAGAAGAGCACTGAAGTGATGTCTTTTCATGGCTGCATTTGCAGCCCTGTGTGAGCTCAGACTAAACTTCCTCAAAGCCACATTCAAAAAGACAAGACAAACCCTTCCTACTAGCCCTGGAGTCCTCGGTTCCATCCCTAGAAGTTGAGGACGCTGTAGAGGGTCTCAGTGTGTCTGACCTCACTGATGACGTTTAGCATTTGAAATCCCAGTTCTCTCTCCATCCCTGAGGAAAAGATGCTCGGAATAGAACACTGAAGATGACAGAGAAGGCTCTGCTGCTCAGGGGATGGACACTGCTTGCAAAGGCTTGATAAAGAGATCTTGTAGAGAGGTTTGTAATTTTGCATTTCAGAATGTTTCCGAATTAATTATGTTTTTTGGATTTCCAATTCCAATCCAAATCCTGGGATTAAGAGCATGTGTTTATGTAACATTCTGTTCTTCAGGGGTCTTAGGGACCAAAAGTGCTGGAAAACAAACAAAAAACCCCACAGAAGGAATTACCATGTACACTATTTCACAATGTCTGCCTGCCTAATCTCTTTATTTCTGTTGCTTTAAAGCAATCCACAAAAACACCAGGACAGTTTCTAAACAATGCCTTTAAAATAATAAAATGTATTTTAAACACTTGGCCAAAGGATACTTAGTCTGCCTGTGACAGAGGATACAGCATCTAAAGCTGATGACTTAGATTCCATGTAGTTCAACGTCCTCATTTTACAAATGAGAAAACTCAGACTCACTGAGTGAAGTGATTTGTTTGAGGTCACACAGGCAGTAAATATAAGCACTGGGATTTGAACCCAGGTCCTTAGACTCCAAGTTCATCACTCTTTCCATGGCACCATGCTGAGGCCTCCCTGACCTGAAGCTAATCTGTCTTTGAAGGACTCTCAGATAAATTCCACACCTTCAGGTCCCCAGGGTTTCTTCAGGAAATAACCTCTGATGACGGCCAAGTCTTGGCCATACAAACATCTCTTCCTCCTTCCTCCTTAGAATTAGGGAGAATCTTTTCCTTTAGTTGCCTGCTTGAGCAGGGTGGAAGAACAGATATGGCTTGGGGTGCTTGGAAGGGTGAATGGATTAACTAACCAAATTAAAAAAGATGGGTCATATTTATAATTAGAAAGTTTCAAGTTAGAGGAAGGGATAAACAGCAGCTGGCCAGATATTAGGTAACAGCTTTTGCTAAGCCCCTTTGGGATAATTTTTAAAATCCTTATGCAGTTTCTAGTGAGAAGAAACTTTGGTGATCCCCAACATTGCTTGTATCTATTTCGCTGCTAAAATTCAAATTATGGGCAATGTTGTTTTAGAGAAGTTAATTTTCTTAGCCTGGTGCTTGTTATTTCTAAAGATAGCATTATTATTAAGAATTTTTATTGATTTAGTTTTCAGCACAGTGTGCTTACAATAGGAAAAGTTACAATGCTTTCCAAAACAGTTCAAATGCCAGATTGGGATCTCTTGATCACTCAGTAAGTCCATGCATTCCTGTTTTTGTCTTCATATTAGTGAGCCCATACCATATGTTGCCGAGGAACTGCTGGTGAGATGGGAAAAGAGGATAAGAAAATAGGGAGCCTAGTACAATTATCTTTTGTTCTGTGTTACCTGGTTACCATGTCGGGGATTTATGGTAAGCTTTATCTTCTCACTCAAGGAGCTGGCCATAATTGGGTGTTTACTGTTCAAAGGAACCATTCAGCCCCTGAACAAAGAATGCTTGAGATGTTTGAATGTCAGGTTGATTTCATGAAGCAAGCTGTCAGGTTTACAGAGTGTGTTACTACAGTCTCCTTGTGAAACATAGACTTGCTTGTAATTGTTCAGAGAAAAGGAAATCTGAATAATTATGAGCAAGTCTGGGAATAGTGCTTGTGATTCTTCTGATGCTGCAGTTACCTGGCCTTGACAGGCAAGCTCAGTAACTGCTTCAAACTGAGTCCAGCCATCAAGAGAGTAATAATAATAGCTGACATAGACATATACATACATATACACATATACATACATACATACATATACATGTATAGTGCTTTAGCGTTTACAAAGTGCTTTACTTTCATTATCTCATTTGGTCCTTCCTTCCTCCCTCTTTTCCTCCCTCCCTCTCTTCCTTCCTTCCTTCCTTCCTTCTTCCTTCCTTCTTTTCTTTCCTTCTTCCCTGCCTCTTTCCCTCCCCTCCTTTATTCTTTCTTTCCTTCTTTTCTTCCTTCTTTCTTTCCTCCCTCCCTCCCTTCCTCTCTCCCTTCTTCTCTTCCTCCCTCCTTTCCTTCCTTCTTTCCTCCTTCCCTCCCTTCTTTCCTTTCTCCCTCCCTTCCTTCCTTTGTTCATTCCTATAATTATACAATTTTATACTTCCTTTATACAATTCATACAAAGTCATTTCTGAGGCAGAGACTATAGCAACTAGAGAATCGAGAGAGGCTTCCTGGAGGAGATAGTGCCTGAGCTGAGATTGGAGAAAGCTAAGGACTGTAAAAGGAGATGAGAGCAGAGGGCATTCAGGGCATGGGTGCCAGCCGGCACAAAGCCACAGAAAAGGAGGTAGAGTTTTAGGGAGAACAGCATTTATGCTAGGAAGTAGCTGGATGATGCAGTGGTTAGAGCCTGGCTTGGAGTCAGGAAGACCTGAGTTCCCACAAGGCTTCAGATACTTCTTAGCTCTGTGACCACAGGCAAGTCTAGCAGTTTTAGTGGACTGCAGGCTAACAGGGTGACATGCCTTCTACTGATGTGATCTTAGGAACACTAAAAGAAATGCTAGGAGTGAGGAGTTAATGGTTCTGCCATACTCTGTCTTGGGCAGACCACATATGGTGTTTTGTGTTTAATTCTGGGCAACACATTTTAGGAAGGCCATTGATACACTAATGGATATTCAGAAGAGCATTAGCAGAGCGGTCAAAGGCCTTGAGCTCACGTCCATAAAGAGCTGTTGAAGGGACTGAGAGCATTTAGGCTGGAGAAGACAAGACTTAGGGGAGACAGGATTGTTATCTTCAAGTAGTTAAAGGGCCTTCGTATGGAAGCAGGATTAGACTTATTCTGTTTGGCCAGAGAAGGTAGGCCTGGGAGAAATGATCAAAAGTTCCAAAGAGGTACATTGAAGCTTGATAAAACAAGTCTTTTCTAACAATCAGTGGAATACTTCATCTCCAGAAGCCGGGGTGTGTGTGTGGGGAGATTCCCATTCAACAACTTTTTTGCTTTTCATTATAGGTTGGACTTGACTCTGAGGTCCCTTCTAACTCTGAAATTCAATGATTCTGTGAAAATTATGACTCAAGTCTGCTTTCAGATTCTGATTCCCAAAGCCTTAACTTCCTGGCACAATTCATTCTGTTTATTCACATTGCATGTCCTTTCCTCCTACATTGTTTCCCCTACCCACTATCCCCTGCCAGTCTCTGTGCCTTTTTTGGTGAACGTGGATATACTGGCTTCATGGAAAACTACTCCCAGAAATCCGGCTCTGGAAAAACTTTCAAAACGGGATCATTTTCTCTCCTGACTTCCCAGAGGACCTCTTGGTATTTTGTTTTTGCATAAGTTTTATAACTGAAAGGAGTATTAGGGATCACCCAGTTAAGCCCCCTTCTTTGACAGATGAAAAAAACTGAAGCCCAGAAAAAAGTCATTTCCCCAAGGCCATCAGTATGGTGGCATCCATTGTGGACTCTGGCTCTGAGAAAGGTCCCAGGTGGCTCTGCTAAAAGCTAATGAAACAGGACACATATAGACACTATGGATTCTCTTCCTTCAATCCCTCATGAAATGACCATGTCTTCCTCTTGGGAGGTTGGATACAGAAGAAAGGAGGCCCAGGAATGCCTTCTAGGGACCTGGGATCTGGTTTTCTATAGGTATACATCAAAAATATATTACATGAAGTTCTAGTTCCTTCTGCTACCACCATTCTATGCCCTCAATAAAGCAAAGTCTTGGGTCAAAGAGTCAATGCTATTCTTGGCTTTCAATCTCATTCCTCATTCCGCAACTCTCACCACCCTCCAATGATTTTCACATGATGCAGAAAAATTGTTCTCCTGCAATCCCTTTTGCATCTGCCAATATTCCCATTATAAGTCTGTCCCTTATTTTTGGAAGCAAGCTGCTGGGGCTAGGGGTTCTTT